GTAAGGAATTTTCCACTACTGGATTCCATCCTATAACTTTTCTTTAACCATGTGCTGCTTCTTTACCACCTATTCAAATTAAATTGTCAGCTTCTTAGCAGAGGGCTGTTTTTATTGAATTTGGAAGCACTATTTCAATTTACAGTGTTACCCAAATAAAAAATAATAAAATATCTGACATGATAACAAAAAATTATGTGATACAGAGTGATTGAATTTTATCTCAATGGGAAACTATGGAATTTTGTAACTAATTTTCAATCTGTTTTTCCTGTTCTCTCTTTTTAGAATAAAACCAAACTTTATCATGACAATGTACAAATGCTGTGTGCTTGCAAGTTTATTAGATCTGTTAATCTTTGAACTGTTGTTTTTTTGAGTTTTAAAGGGAATATTATAAAATAGGTTAGCCTACAGAATTTCCCCCTTCTCCAAGCAGATGAGTAATTCAGAAATTTCCTGCACTGGTACCATGACTAGACAACTGCAGTAAGCCAGCGCGCTATTTCTAAGTATATTGTTTTCATCTATTACCTGGAGGATACCATCAAAACGAATAAACCACCTCTTGCCCAGTTACATACAGTCATTTTATAGAGATTTTTAAAAGGCATTCAAAGGATTATGTTTTTCTTTGGACTGCTTAATTGGAAAATGTTAATAATACCACCTTTAGTTGAAAGTCTCTTGAAGTACAAATAGGAAGGAAGAAGGCTATAGTAAGAAAAATTTCAGATATTGAACTTTCCTCATACTTGAAATTCAATGCTTATGAGCATAAGGAAACAAAAGAATCACTTAGACATCTTTGGACAGACAATTTGGAAGCCTGCCTTTGTGCAATTAACAAGCAGGCATAACATTAGAAAGGTTTTCTGGTTTGATGTTTGCATGCTTTCGGTATCAGACATGGGCCTGGATTCTCTAAGCTATTTTGTGAAATTCTCTTTAAAAACTAGCTTATGGTCATTATCATTATCTCAATGTTTTTTGTCTGCTGCACTAATTTTTGTGGTTGGAGGCTTGGTGGAGGCTTGGTGTATCCAGTTAGGGATCAATAACAAAATTGAACTGAGTTACAAAGTTAACAGAAGTTAAACTGAGAAATCAAGAATTGTATCAATAGTCAAAATCTTTTGGAATTCCAGAGCTTAAAATCAAATTAAAAGAACAATGACTATAAAATTCTGTTCTGCCTTTTGCAATGCCTGTTACGTCTATAAAAACCAGAGTAGAAACAGAAGTTTCTAATCCTGGGACATGCAGTCTCTCAGAAATAGCAAACTGTGCCCTCTGTAAGTCTTCATGAGGTACCTTGCATTGGTTTCCTGTAGTTTTGGAGTTACAAGGAGGTTTTTTTGACAAGATCTTGTCAATATCTAAAGGGATACAGAGAAACACAAGATGATAATCAGAATGACTTGATTTTAAAGACCACGTGTGAGTTGGCAGCTCTTGAATCTCATTTAGTGGAACATTACATATGCTTCTGATCCCAGGAAAGCCCTGAAACACTAGTTCCCAGTCAGAGATTAGAAAAGATAGACTCTTACTATTGAGAGGAATAAGAGGAAGAGGAGGAAGAGGAAGAGGAAGAGGAAGAGGAAGAGGAAGAGGAAGAGGAAGGAGGAGACAGTCTTCCTGGTTTCATTACAGTAGTAATTAAATGGTCTTTGGCACAGACAGAAACAAGCAGACTACAGTCACATTGTCAACATCGGGGGTTTTGTCAGCCTGTGAGCATGGAGAGGGCAGTAGAAGCTGCAGAAGATTGCACATGGAGGAAGGACAGTCAAGGACCTATGCATTGACTTTGATCAACACAAGCAGGGAGAAGGGGAACACACAAGGCCGACAAAGGGATCAGGGCGTTTTGTGGAGCTATCAGAAAAAAAGAGACCATCTACCTGTTCTGTGAAGGGAATGTAATGTGGGGCATTTGGGACTCTTAGCTGGTCTAGGCAAATGCACAGGCAGCGAAGTTTATCAGCTTTTAACTTTGGTAGAGGAGACAGCTGATGCTACATTCAGCTTTCTGAGGTACAGTTTCCTGCAGTGTTCTAAGTTAAAACTCCCCAATTGTTCTCTCTTTTACTGGAAAAAAGAGAAATAATCTCTTTTCTTTATGCTCTTGATGTGATCCAGTTTTAAAGT